CCCCAAAACCCCAAAACCCCAAAACCCCAAAACCCCAATTGGTTTGACCACCATTGAAAATGTGCGTACGTTCTCTATTTTTGTATTTAAGCTAGGAAAGTTTAATTAGATTAATAATAATTTATAAATAGCTTATGAGTAAGTCCAAATTCCAATAAATTACTTAACAAGTCCTCTATAGACAAAGTAATCGATAGCTCTAGTCGTAATAGGATCAGCCACTCTGAAGGCGAAGAGTCTAAAGTCTTCTCTGGTGGTGATAGTAAGCCAGAAGCTTCTGGAGAGGCTATGAATAGCCCACACAACAATGATGAGAATGTTAAGAGCCATAGAAGTGGAGAAGAAGATAATAAAGATGAGAATGATAGTAATAAAGAAGAAGAGGAGCAAGAAAACAAAGGATGCAATTGGTGCTCTTGGATCTTCAGAATTGCAATCATTCTTCTTCTTATTGGTCTTGCTGTCTGGGTAATTGTCGATTCTTCAAGGCTCACTGGTGTTTTTGAAGATTTCATTGATTGGATGGAGGACAATCCAATCCTAGCACCTTTTGTATTTATTGTTGTATACATCTTGGCTACAATTTTCTTCCTTCCAGGACTTATTTTAACTCTTGGTGCTGGATTCGCTTTCAATGAAGCCTACGGAAATGTCGGACGTAAGTTATTTTAATTGACTTTCTAGTGGCTATCTTAGTCGGTTCAATTGCTGTGTGGTGTGGAGCAATGCTTGGAAGCATGTTAGCAATGCTTATTGGAAGATACCTTCTCAGAGACTGGGTTGGAAAGAAAGCTAAGAAAAACAAATATTTTGGAGCCATTGATACAGCAATTGAGAAAGAGGTAAGCTAAGCTTCCATTCTTTTTACGTCAACTCAATCCTACACACTGATGTAGCTTTTTGACCTTTAACTAGCTCTTTGCTCTGTCTTTAAGTTGGCTTGGGCACCTTTCCTATTGAATTTAGTAAATCTAGAACAGTAAATTAATAAAATTACCGAACGTTTGCTTTTAAGCCATCTTAAAAACACAAAATGTTTGTAAACTTAGAACCTGATGACATCAAAAGAGTTTAGTCTGACGATAATATAGGGATTCAAGCTAACGCTACTTCTGAGACTGTCCCCAGCCATCCCATTCAACTTGTTCAACTATCTCATGGGGATTACCAAGGTTGCCTTTTCAAAGTACACCCTAGGAGGACTTGGAATGATTCCAGGAACCATTGTTTATGTATACTTTGGAACCACAATTTCGAATATTTCAGATGCTGCCTCTGGTAACTTTGATGGAGGTATTCTCCAACTCTTGTTGCTCATCATTGGCTCTATATTAGCCATCATTGCTGTCTTCTATGTTTCCTGGGTTGCTAGGAAAGAGGTCAGAAAGGTGATCAAAAGGCAAGAAGAAGAGAAAAATAAGGCAAAAGTCTCCAATGGCCAGATTGAAATGAACAGTCAGGACAAAAAATCCAATAATTCCGATGACCAAGAAGTTAATTTAGATGTTGAACCTGTCGATAATATTCCTGACGAGCCTGTCAGGGCAGAATCAATGATCTAAATTATGTATTTAAGCTTAATCTCATTCACCATAAATCCTTAATTTCAATTTGGTGTATGTCTACTGGGGTTTTGGGGTTTTGGGGTTTTGGGGTTTTGGGG